GTATGATCATCACTAGAATAATAGTTAAAGACTATGGAGTATACTGTATACCCATGGATCAGGTGTTGATGTAATTTACTCTATTAATAAATAAGCATATTAACCCTTAATTATACAATTTCCTATAATATAATATTATATAATAATAAAACTCAATTAAGAAGTCATATAAAATTATAAAATATATACTGAATTCCCAGAACCCGGATATTCTTATGACAATAAAAATGTAATTCTGTAATTAGTATATAGTTTTTTATTAAGTTATTAAAATATTGTGACTTAAAAAATATTTTCAAAATTTAACATTTTACAATTTGGTAATATAATTATTATTTAAGTCGATATCACTTCTACTCCTAATAAAAATATGTCCGGCTGTAGAGATACCGGTGCTGGTGGTATGCCCTTCCACAGGCTCTCCATAATAACCGTCCACTTTCTTATTGACATTCACACAGAATCCGGAATTTTGCACGTATTTAATGAGATTGCCAATGGGGGCCACGAATAGTACGTGCAATACGTACGATAATATCAATGTTAATGTGAAGTCCACATAAATATTCTCTAACTATTGAGCAAAGAATACATTTGATTAATAAATGCTAATAAAAGTGTTAAAATGCATACAGTCTTCAGATCAGTCATGATATACGTCTGTCGTATGGAATAGATCCGGAAGAATATGATCGGAAAGTGAACCAAATATATCAATGAATAGAGTTTAGCAAATGGTTGCACATATCGTACGGATAGCAATCGGTTCAGGGTCTCTGCAATTCAAAATAATAAGTGTACGTTATTATACATCATATAAAATTGTCAAAATAAAACACATCCTATTATTTTAAAGCAACCTTGCTAATCATATCACGAACATAATAAAATTCAGTGAAAACTAATTACTATGCGTGCGTATTAATATGCATGCAACATGTTCGTACTTATTAATAGACTAGTGATTAGTGTTAAAATGTAGTTTTCAATTATAATTTGTATTTTTAAAATGTTTGTAAAAGTTAGATAAGAGTTTATATTTGAGTTTTAAGTGGTATAATGTAAGCATAACATATAAGTTAACAAAAAAAAGTAAAATTAAATGTACAAAAAAAGTCTACGACACCCGGTATTCCCAGGTGGTCTCCCTCCCAAGTACTAACCGGGCTCGACGCTGCTTAACTTCGGGGATCGAACGAGAACCGGTGTTTTCAGCGTGATATGGCCGTAGACATTGACATACACTTCCCCACTGCACACATTCATACACCTTCTATGTTAATTGCTTACATTATACCACTTAAACCACAAATATAAGCTCTTAAGCTTTTACAAACATTTAATGTCAATAAAATGAATTATTTAAAAATATTATTCAAAACTGTAAATCTATATATTAAGTGAATTAAAGTTATTGAAAAATGTATATGGTAAAATTATTGGCCTGAGCAAGCACTTCTCATTCAAATTAACATTGAGCTGTTGTATAAAAATAGTTTTTATTATAGATTTGATTTACATATAACGAAATGATTTTAAAATATAATATTGTGTGATCTGAATATGATATTACATAGTTAATCTTTAAATGAGTTTAATTTCAATTCAATAATATTGACTACAAGTAGGTCAGTGTTCAGACAATATTCATATTAAACATCCTTTAATTTTAAGACTTAATTAAATATAAATAATTCATAAGTAAACTAATATTAATGGTAATTAATTCGGTAAAAATTTATTTTATTTATTTACACGTATTTCCAAAATTTAAAATATTCATAAACTACAAGACTGTTAAATTACTCAATTAATGTTTAAATAAACAATTTTAAAAAGTATAAGTTTTACTATTAAATTGTGAGTGTCGGTGTGTTTTACTAATTTATATTATAAACTAACAGAATTAATCATTTTAAAAAATACAAATTATATTTTTAGAATTTAAAAATAACATTACTTAAAAATTGTAAATAGCATGAAAAGGTTGATACATTAATAATAACTTTAAAAATACATTTAATTATTAAGTCAATCATCAATAACATAAATTTAAATAATTATTTAAAATTAAGTTTTATATCTTTTTAATAACTGTATGCAGTTTTAAATAAAATTAAATAATCATTGATCAAAGATTTATGTATCAATTTTTTAATTGGCATTAAGTTTAATGTAAACATTTAATTGATTATAAATTCTTTACATTTCAAGTTGGTTTACTTATTTAATATTTATTTATTTATTAAAAATAATAACTTTATAGAAATTATTTAAATTTAATGTGAAATCAATGAAATGTAATTACTTATAATTTATTTATGCCTTATATTGAATTTAAAATGTTTAATAAATTGTATAATATACAGTAACTAATAAACTTATTAATATAATTATTACTGAATGCTAAATACAATATTTTATTATGTTATATTAAATAATTTTCTCAAATGTTATAATTTGATTTTGCATATATTAAGTAATTTAGTATTGGTTTATAAATAATTATTAAATTTTAAACTGCGAGACATTGGAAAAACCCTTTTTGGCATTTTAATGGACAATATTTTCTTAGAAGGAAAGGTAGTTTATGAGACGACTGTATTGGACACATGTTATATTTAAAAATTAATTGATATTCAATGTTAAGTTCAATAAATTCATTTACCTTTAATGCATTTAATAGTAATGAAGGCTTACGTCAATTCAATTATATAAGATTTTTAAAGTAAGTAATAGCACTGGAAGGGCAGGGGTTAGGCATTGGGACACAAATATACTGAAATTTTTTATGAAATTAATTTTATCAAAATTCTTTACAAGTTTTGATAGTTTTCAAACATTTAGTTTCATTCGAGCATTAAGTGTGTGTGAAATGAATAGTTTTGCAAAACATTTATTTGTGTCTAAAATATTGTGATAGGAATTAAGTAATTGTTAAAATTATAAACAGAAAGTTAATAATAGTTAGTGTTTTAGTTTATATTTGATAAAAAATTATGTTTAAATTAAATTCAATAGTACTTTGTGTACAACTTGTGCTTTTGTTCACAATATGTGTAACAGTTTTCAGTGATAGTGATTATGAGGACTACAATGAAAGTGAAAACAATAAAACAATTGACGAAAGTATAGGTGAAGTGGAAATGGAGGGATCGGCTGACGGTGAGGACAGTGATGACTACGAGCTGGAGGAGGGACAGGGAGGTTGTACAGCACTGGAAGCCCTCAAAGAACTAAATATCACAGAATTCTTGCCCGAAGACTACGAGGAACTCAAGTCTGAGCCCAGGGTTAAGATAGTCAACCACTTCGACGACACTTGGGGCCGCTTTTTGAGGGCTTTCCGATGGGAGCACCGGCTCTACAGCCAGAAAGACGTCAAACAAGTGTTTAATTATTTGTTTGGTTTGGCGTACGAAATGAGTTACGACTTCAAACTGGAGCCCAAGTGTACGGTCGCTATGACACGACTCCTACAGGCGCTGTCCCGCGAGGAGATCTGGGCCTTCAAGTGTTAGTCCATTATTACAAACATTTATTTGAAAACAAATTGTTTTAATAATTAGTTTTTTTTGCATTTCATATTCAGTTGTGGACTCGCAGTCACATCCCGTGCCCACCGGCTTCTGGGGTGGGATTATATCGGAGTTCGGCGAATACGACCAGTGCCTCGACATTAAGAGCCCACCACACGAGGGGCACACCATTTCCGGCCAGTACTGTATGCTGAGACTGATTATGCCGTACCCTCTCATTGAGTCCTACGACAAGAGCTTTGAGGACAATGTGTTCGCCAATCAGTTGAGAAATTTCACCAAAAAGTATGGTTTCGATAAGTATTCAGAAGTGAATCCAATCCTAAAGATCACGGAATACCTGAATATGAGAAAAGGAAAGTTCTTTGAGTTCGGGATCTGTTTCCCCGATGTCTGCAGTCCTCAAGACATCGAAAAGGAGTTCAATAGAAGTGTGTATTCAATGAAATGTTTTCAAAAAATCTTATTTACTAAATATAATTATAATTATAGATATTTTTATTATCATATTAAACCATAGTTTTTCTTATTTTATTTAAATTATAAACTTTTTTATATAGTATTTTATTTGACAAGCTTATGCAAACTGTAAAATGAACATAAATATCCGATTGAGTAATGAATTTAAAAATATAATTACAATTATGGAGTTACCCAACCAGGTCCTATTTATAAATATTTTAATCATTAAAGTAATAATTATTTTTCAATTTAAATTTAGCAGTTATCTAGTTCCATTATAGTTTTATAATCAAGTTAAATCAATGTTTAGTTCATTTTATTTAAAAGTATAATAAATCCAAGAATTTTAAAATATTTTTATATTTTAATAGTTTGCAGTATTCAAGCCGTAAATAAACACAAATATCTCATTAATTAATGGCATATAAAATATTGTATAAAATTATGGAGATGAGACTGAATTATAAGTTATATTCACAATTATATGACCCTAATACTTTTGAATTTAATTGGACAGTCATCTACCCATTACTACGCATACCGGTTGAGATCAATGAGTGGACGTGTAGTGTGAGGGACAGACCTATTAAGTTGGATGGCTTTCAGATATTCTCGATGTATGACAACAAATATGACATAAAATTAAAACAATTAAAACAAACTTTAATCCAAATCTCATAATCCAGTGTAACGTTCACCACATTGACGGCACTGGTAGTGATGAGCACTTCCCACGAGTTATATCACAAGCATTTGCGACAAAAACTATTTGCGACCCAAAAGCAGCCCAAACTTGCGGCGAACCGACTCTTGCGGTCGTTTTCAGTCATCTATAATACGCGCCAATTGTGTGAAGACAAGTGCCGGCGCTTCCAAGCCGTCAATACAATCAAACTGTTGGTGGCGTTGCAGATGGTGTCGGCGCACACCTACCTCTTCACCGCCCATTCATTCGCGTTGAAGCGGTTCAACACCTCAGTGCCCCTCCAGCTCTTCCACGACAACCGATACTTCTTCGTCAGGGCGAAGCAGCTCGGGATCGACACCTTCATGGTCTCCTCGTAAGTACCCGTCCGTACATACCTGTCCCCTAATACTCGTAAAATAATTAATCCGTTAACAAGTATAGTATACTATTGTTCATGCTACATGTTCGTACTTATTAATAGACTAGTGATTAGTGTTAAAATGTAGTTTTCAATTATGATTTGTATTTTTAAATGTTTGTAAAAGTTAGATAAGAGTTTGTATTTGAGTTTTAAGTGGTATAATGTGAGCATAACATATAAGTTAACAAAAAAAGTAAAAATAAATTGACAAAAAAGTCTACGACACCCGGTATTCCCAGGTGGTCTCCCTCCCAAGTACTAACCGGGCTCGACGCTGCTTAACTTCGGGGATCGAACGAGAACCGGTGCTTTCAGCGTGATATGG